TCACCAATCTGATTGCGAGACAAATCCAAATTGGTCAGAGTCACATTAGCTTTGATTGCCTCAGCAATAGATGTAGCACTGGCATCACTAATCCGATTGAGAGACAAATTCAAATTGGTCATAGTCTTGTTGACTTTGATAGCTTTAGCAATTGATGTAGCACCAACATCCCTTATCCCATTGCCAGACAAATTCAAATTGGTCAGAGTCTCATTTACTTTAATTGACTCAGCAATAGCTGTTGCACCAGCAACACTTATCTCATTGTCAGACAAATTCAAATCAGTCAGATTCTCGTTGACTTTTATTGCCTCAGCAATAGCTGTAGCACCGGCAACACTAATCTGATTGTAATACAAATTTAACTTGGTCAGAGTCTTGTTGACTTTCATTGCCTCAGCAATTGATGTAGCACCGGCATCACTTATCTGATTGGCCATAAAATTCAAATAGCTCAGAGTCTTGTTGACTTTAAGTGCCTCAGAGAGGATTAGTGTCAATTCGTTACCTTGGGACTGAAGATAAACTGATTCTCTGGTCATATTTGAGCCAAGCAATCTTGCTAACTGCAGGTGAAAATCATCTTTCTTTCTTTTGCATTCATTAATGGCTTCCAGTACAACTGCCACAGCCCTACTGTTGTCATCGTCTAGATTGTCAACCCGGTCTCCAATACTCGAGACAAGAGCCATAGCCTGTTGATCGGACTGTTCTGCTAAAATACCGCACGAAAACAATAGCACCTGCTTTAGGCTGCTGAAATATCTTTTATCGGAAACTAATATTTCTGGTGTTATTTGTATATCTTGAATCTCACAACTGATATAAAATGCTGCAAAGCATTCTTGAAAGCTTTTGTGTAGAAAAGCATAATGCTGACTCGGCCTCAGCTTACTACGTCCAGGATGAACTGACAGAAATCCGAATGCAGCCAAGTCACTTGCATGCTTTCCTAATTCATTCTCATCAAAATCCAACTTGTCATCAATCAAACCATTTAGCGCTATTGATCCAAGGGTTTTCAATTGCGATTTGTAAAGATTTGTAAGATCTTCTTTTGTATCAGGAAGTTCCGTCTTTTTCCTGTATCTTCTCAAGACACATTCAATCATGCCTAAATAGAGCTTGGTTCTATTTTCCGGAAGAGTACCCCCAAACTCCTCACACAAAAGGCAAAGCAGCACTGTGTTTAATGGATTTGCACACATTTCTTGAAGGTTTTCATCGCGGGATATTCGTACCGAGAGCTTTTCAGCTAATTTCGACTTTTCCTTGAAGTACTTAGCAATAAATTCTCTGGCTTTTGCTTGAGTAAACCCTTTGACCTCAAGCAAGGTGTC